TCTATAGTAATACCTTTTTCAAGGATATTTGGTAGACCTTCAGCAACCCTTTATCAAGTCCAATGAGTTAAAAACATGTTTAGCTTTTCCAGCATTAAAATTCAGTGGAATCACCCATTTAAATATGGTAGGAAAAGCCATATGATATTTTTCATGTGCCACTTTATTCCTTCTTGAAGAAGAAATATACTTTTATGATTGGATCATTATCTGCAATACTGTTAAGTGTTAAGCACATACCATGCTCTGATACCAATTTAAGGTGTGAAAAGTACACAAGAATGGGGGGTTGAATTGTGTTTCGCGTTTTCTTATTATTTACCTTCTGATCAGAGTTTCAGAATCAGAACTGATGTTTAAATTTTGAGTTAATTCGTTTGGCAGCGGATACAATCGAAGTAAATAAAATAACAACAAAAGACACAAAAGATTTATATTGGTTCTTCCCCTAACTGAGAGTAGTCCAGTCCCATTTCCTCACACGAGCTTTTCACTATAACCACTTCATGATTACAATCACTTATGCTTCTTCATAAAACTTTTAAAATTGCTCAGACCAACTGTCTGGGACTTCCCTTGCTTAGAGCATATCTCTAAGACTTAACATTTGCTCACACCATTTGACAGAGCCACCTGCTCATCTGTCTTTTGGTTGAGACTTCTCTTTGCTTAGAGCACATGTCTAAGACTTCCCTTTGCTCACATCCTCTGGCTGAGCCACCTGCACTTCTGGCCATCCAGACTAAAACTTCCCTTGCTCAAGCTGCACTTCATACTTCTTGCTCTTGCCCCTCAGACGAAGACTTTCCCACCAGCTCAATCAGACTAGCTAAATAAGACTTTCATAGCTCAAGCAGTTAAGCAATGAGACTTACATGGTTTAAGCATCTTGGCTCAAGATTTGTTGCTTGAATCCCAATGATACAAGACTTTTTGCTCAAGCACATAGCAGAAAACTTAATCTAAACTACTAAAGGCTCAACAGAATAGAGAATAAGGTGTATATGATGCAAGCATCAGAGGTACGGGAAATCACCATAACAAAGACCTAAAGCACTTAATATTCTAATATATACAGGGGTAAGAAATCTTAAGGCTTTTACAATTACAATCTAAAATAGAAAATCTACTTATTAGATAAAGTTGATAACTGCTCAATCTTTCTACTCCTTCAATAGAAGAATCCTTGTTAAAATTCAAACTTGAATCTTTAGCCATATATATATATATATATATATATATATATATATATATATATATATATATATATATATATATATATATATATATATATATATATATATATATATATATATATATATATATATATATATATATATATATATATATATATATATATATATATATATATATATATATATATATATATATATATATATATATATATATATATATATATATATATATATATATATATATATATATATATATATATATATATATATATATATATATATATATATATATATATATATATATATATATATATATATATATATATATATATATATATATATATATATATATATATATATATATATCCTTTCTAGAAACTAGCCGTTGAGAAGGTGACTTGATCAAGTGTCTTTGCTTTTGCTCCATAGTATAAGAGACATTGAAGATGGATGCATAACAAATTCTGAATCCAATGCGTAACACGTTTAACCTTTGAGTCTTCAAGAGGTTTTGTACTAATAGAGCTGTTGGGAGCAGACATCCATAGAATGTACCATATTTTCTTGAGCCTTGCAATCTTACTCAGAAAGCTGTAGACTCGAGCTGACAGGCTGATAAGACAATGCATCTTGCTTTCAGGAGTACGGATAGTCCACAACTTTATCACCGACTCTGAATGGTACTAGATGCTGATATAATTACTAAGTGTAAAAATTCGTCTGAATGTTGAGGCCTTTAGTTCAGAGTCTTCGTCAAACCACACTAGAAATTGTTCTTCAGAGTCTGCCACCAGAAGCTAGCAATGAAGCAACTCTAAGTGTGTCTATGTAAAATAAATTCTGATTATTTATGTACAAGAACCTGCATAAATAAAACACACATCAAATAAACCATTGTTCTTTTAATACTTTTGTTATCATCAAAACTAAAAGTGAATATATCAAGAACAAATCTTGTTCTAACAATGATGTCCTTAGTCCAAGGGAACAACTTGTGGATTTATGGATTTAAGTTCTATGAGCTTATTGATCTAACTCTTTGCACATATTCAAGGAATGAGAAAGTGAACTCATAAAAACCCTTCCCTTTATATTTTATACCCCATTTCCCAATAGAGGTCCATTGAGCAATTATCTTGGCGTACACGTTAACAACAGTCAGTGTAACACTCGAGGCCAATGAGGGTAGAAAGTGGTCACCGATGCACAAGATATGACAATGAGCAGCTCCTGGTAGCTTCTAGGTAAAATCTGAATTCACATCGGAATGATAAGGATTCTGATGTTGTGCAGGTATGGAACTGTATGGTTGAAGGAAAACTTATAAGGATTGATTGATATTGTCTATACCAACAAGATGCATCTTCTTTATGGTACCCTAAAAAAAAAGAAATCTATAGATAAACATGCTTGGCTTAAAGTAGTATTTGGATGGGTGACCTTCTGGGAAGTTTCTCGAAAAGCGTGTGAGTGAGAATAAAGTATGCTGAAAAGATCCGTGTTGGTTTGTTGGGTAAGTCGATAATCTTGAAAGTAGTATTGGGAGTTACAATGGTATTAGAGCAGACCTCTTCTAGTACAATGTGGTTCAGGGATGAACCAAATAGAAGCTGGTGGGCATGTAATACCAGAGGACGATGAGGGCGGAGAGTGGTTGTCAGTGCATAAGGCATAGCAATGAGCGGCTCCTGAAAAGTTCTAGGAAAAATGAATTCACATCTGAATGAGAGGGTTCATAAGACTGTGTAGGTATAAGACTGCATGGTGAAAGGAAGGCTTATAAGGATCAATTAGTATTATATTTACTAACAAGATGCATCTTTTTTTCGGTATCCTTACTTGGAGTAGTATTTGGATGAGTGACCTTCTGGAAATTTTCTTAGAAAGCGTGTGAGTGAGGACAAAGCATGCTGAAAAGACATGTGTTGGTTTGTGAGGTCAGTCAGTAATCCTGAAAGCAGTCTGGAACATTATAGTTAGGGTATGGAGCCCTTAGGCCATAAGATTCTGTCGTGGAAATTATGTTTAGAAGCCTCAAGGCCCAACTTATATTCTTCTTCTGAAATAGCAACGACAAGGCGATCTCCCTTAGAAATGGAACTAGTAACTGTCTTTGTTGAATATCACAAACTTTCGTGACTCCTTCCATGAACGATTTTATCTTTATTGTTCCCTTGGCAGTTTCATGTAGGTTTGGATGGTTCTTTTTCTTGGTATATGGAACATTGGTTTTTGGGAATAGTTCATATGGATGGGTGGCAGGCATTGTGTGAAAAGAAGAAGAGGATTTAGGTCAACAATATTCTCCAACTTTCTTAGACCACCATTGTTTTTTCATATCTAGGTCTTAGAAGAGGCTTTTTTGTTTCAAGAGAATCCTAATTTATAAAAGCTCGTAGTCATCATTTGGCCCAACACCTATGTTTTATTTTCATTAAACAGAAAAGTTCTTGTGGTATTTGTTTTATTTCTAGATAAGGAGTTTAGGTTGTCAACTGGAGTCAAAACGTGTATTCAAGAAGTTACTGGGAAATATTATAAAAAATAAAAGAATTACAACCACAATAATTGCACTCTAACACATGGAGATTTGACACTGTATTCCACGTGTCCTCTTGAGATACATGCATTATGTTTCAACTTTCTTATGTTTTAAAAGGCATGTTGTTGCGTCTTATGGCATTCTTGCATTACATTGTGCATTGGGAAGTGAGTAGGTGAGAAAGGGAATAGTAATTCTAATTTCCGTTCTTTGTAAAAGTGCACAAAACTTCTTTATATATGAGAAAATTTTGCCTTAAAAAGAAAATAATTCATGGCCTGTCCATTATCTAATTGATTAACTTGTGGCGCTAATCAATTAGACATATCATATAAGAAAATAACTTAGCCATGAGCACATCGTAATCAATTAAAAGGGTTCCTAAACGATTAGGTGGCAAGCCTGTTGCTTAATCGATTAGATGCAAGCTCTAATTGATTAAACAACAAGACTTTGCTTTTCTAATTGACCAAGACGCTTCTTTAATTGACGAGGTAAATGCCATAAGCAATTTTTCGAGATTTTGAAATAACGACTTAAAAATACTTTTTAGTGAGTGTGCGCATTGTCTTAGTAACTAAGAATTACTCTTGATTATTTTACAAATCATTGATAAAAAAACTGATAAAACAAGTTAAGCGCGGGACTAGACGAGCTTTGCACTTAATCAATTCCTTTCAATATTGATATATGAGTTGATTTATTTTTGTTCTCAACACTGAAATTTGACCAATTTTTTTTTTTTTGATAATATATGCCTTCTAAACCGATGATGTTTTATAACTTATTTTTGTTTTTCTCTTTTGTCATCACCAAAACTGCATATAAAATAGAGGAAGAAAATGAATTTGAAATTATCACACCTATCCTTCCACCATCGCTCAAATGAAGAGTTTCTCTTAATTAGATCAATGACTTTCTTTTCATTTTGTTTGAATCATTTTAGGGAGATACAAAAACTAGAAAGATTGAACATTAGACAAAATATGATCAAGTGACATGCCACTAGTTGAAGCATAAGCATGAATCCTTATTTTTTAATAAAAAATTTCTTATGGAATGAATTATTTCGATGAAGGTGGACCATAGCATACTAGTCCCAACGTATACATGACAGATGATATTCTTCAACCTACCTACCCACCAACCCAAAAATTCCAGTCCATCAAAGTTGACCAAAACCATCACAAACCAAACACTACTCCTTTTTTCTATAAAGACCAAAAACTCCTAAAATCACAATTCATTTTTGAGCTCAAAAAATGGCTTCTACAAATCAAGAAGTGAGGCTATTAGGAAAATGGGCAAGTCCATTTAGCAACAGAATAGATCTTGCTTTGAAACTCAAAGGTGTTCCATACAAATACTCTGAGGAAGATTTACCTAATAAAAGTGAAGATCTTCTCAAATACAATCCTGTTTACAAGAAGGTGCCTGTTCTTGTTCACAATGGAAATCCAATTGCTGAGTCTCTTATCATTCTTGAATATATTGATGAGACATGGACAAATAATTCTCTTTTGTCTCAAGATCCTTATGAGAGAGCTTTGGCTCGTTTTTGGGCTAACACTCTAGATGACAAGGTTAGTATCATGTTCTTTTTTGTTACACTCTTAAGATTAATGTTTTAAATCCAATGTTTTATACGAGTTTCAGTTGCGTTACGGTTCTGTAAATGTTTTTGTGATTTCGGTCAATATAGATGATGTAATAGTAACTGTAGTTGTAAATAACGGTGAATAACAATATAGATATCAGTATTTTTCGACATGATTTTGTCGCAATTATTTTTATGATAATAGACAATTTTTTAAAAGTTTGACTATAACATTGACACAATCTCTATAAATCTATATCTTTGAACAAAACCGTCTTAAGGTTTTGAAATTATGAATAGATTAGTCACAATTCAATCGTGATTAAATATATATTAGTTTTATTTAACTACACGTTTAAATATGACAAATATTTTATGAGGTCATATTTATACATGATTTAATCGTGATAAATTTTAGATTTGTATTGCAAAAGTTTTACACGTTTTCAAAGACGGCATTATTTTAGAACAAAGGTGTGTCCATTGTTTTGAATTGTGGTTGTGATTGTGGATGATGATGTGGTTGAAGGTGTTCTAATCATGGTTATTGCAGTTGTTGCGATCCGCATTATTCTTATGACCGCGTGAATTTTAATTCTGAAGTGTTTGAAATAAACTCTTGTTATAATTTTTTATTATATAAAAAATAAATTAAATCTTGGGTTCTAAAATTGAATTTTGAATATTAACAAAATTTCATAACTTGATATGTAATGTCCACTAAATGCATAGGTTTAATTTACATCGTAATTAGAGTCTGATGTGATTACAAAAGCTATCGCATCAACAAATTGCAGTCGCAATTGCGATTGAAATATGCAATTTTAAACTATAAATTTTGGACGTGTCTGAGATCTGACCCGACATAAATACACCTGATTATATTTCAATTTAATTTTTCGACTAGATCTTGCCCGCGTTATGGAATGCCTGCCGGGGTGATGAAAAGGGAAGTAACAAAGCTGTGGAAGAAGCCTCAGAAGCTCTAAAGCTACTAGAAGATGAAATAAAAGAAAAGAGATTCTTTGGTGGAGAAACCCTAGGACTTGTTGATATTGCTGCAAGTTTCATTGGTTATTGGGTTGATATATTACAAGAAATTGCAGGATTGAAGTTACTTACAATTGAGAAATTTCCAAAGGTATTTAAATGGAGTCAAGAATTTATCAATCACCCTGTTATCAAAGAAGGGTTGCCTCCAAGAGATGAACTATTTGCTTTTTTCAATGCTTCTGCTCCAAAATAGAGACAGTTTTAGAGGCAGGGTTCATGTTTTGTAGTCATAGTTTAATTTTCCTTCAAAGAAATGATTTTAATGAGTTAAAGGCTGTTACTGATTTGTGTTGTAAGCCAAGAACTTTTTTTTTGTGTGTTGATTTTTCAGATTAATTGAACCAAGCCATGAACTTAACAAAATATGTTTCATATTGGATATGTTAGTACAAGTGGATTAAGAAAATAATTGATTTTTCAGTTTAATTGAACCAAGCCATGATGTTTTTAGTTCTTTCGTGAAAATAATTGATTTTGAATTAATTGATTTTTTAAAGTTGAAAATAAAATGATTTATATTTGAATATATTTATGTAAAAGTGTGTTAAACAGTAAATTTTAATGTAAATATCACTTTTAAATTAAAAAAACTACAAATTTTATCGTCAAGTAGAATCAATTTTTACTATAGAAGAAACGAACACTTCAAATTCATTCTAAATCAATTCTACACCTTTAAATTGTCTTTTACTCTTTCTAAAAGTTAAACCAAACATATTTTGTGGTTTATCAATTTAGTTTGTGAAATTGTAATGGAATGACTAACATCTGATATTTAATGTATGTTTGGTTTAGTTTTTGGAAGAGGAAAAAACAATTCTAAAAGTGTATAATTGATTCTGAAATGACTTTGAAACGTTTGATTTTTTAAAAGTAGAATTGATTTTACTTGAAAGTACAATTTGTCTCTTTTGAATTTAAAGGTATTCTTCACATTAGAATTTATTATTCAACTCACTTTTACATAAATGTATCAAAATATAAAGCTCAACTTACTTTTAATCAGAATCAATTCTACTAAATCAATTTATTCATAACCAATTCTCTTCTCTTCATCACAAAATCAAACATACACTAAGAAAAAGTGGTGACACAATTTGGTCTCGTTCAAAGTAATTAAAAAAATAAAACTTAAGTAAATTAATCAATTTGGTTCAGTTCAGATGATCAGTATGAAATAATTATTTCTTTCAAACAACACATCCTTCTTGTAACAATTCTATTTCATGCTATTGGTTTTTAATTATTAATTTTTTCACACAAATTATTACACACTCTATTTTTCGACAACTTCAAATTAAATTGAATAAATGCAAACAACATATTTAAAATAGTTCACTATTAAATATAAAATACATTTACCACGAGATTAAAAAAATTCATACAACATATTCAAAATAATGATAGTTCACAATCAATTACAAATACTATTTGCTTCGTTCAGGAATGAATTGAGAACCCGTGTTGACGTGGATCAAAGCTTCTTGTTGAATATGGATCATATTATTGAAATAATTGAGTTGTTAAGATAATTATGGATTGTTGAGAGTACAACTAATATTATTGAGATAATTACGGATTGTTGAGATAGGTATAACTTGTTGAGATAATTATGGATAGAGATAATTGTTTGTTGAGGGAAACTAAGGATTTAGATTTAGATACTAAAACCTCGTATTATATATATATATATATATATATATATATATATATATATATATATATATATATATATATATATATATATATATATATATATATATATATATATATATATATATATATATATATATATATATATATATATATATATATATATATATATATATATATATATATATATGAATTGTAACACTGTAATCTATATGCAATTAACAAGACATAAATAAAAGAAACTATATATAGCTACTCTATTGTCACAAACGTAGGTAATTTGGCCGAACTGCGTGAACAAAATTTTTGTGTGCTTCTTTTTACTCTGATATCTATTCGCGTTTATGTTCTAAAGGTAGGTTAAGAATTTGTTGGCTTAGCATGGTTTACAAAAGGTGCTTCGTGATGAGAAATCAAAAGACATCACAACCATTAATTGGAACGAGATGAAGGAGGAGGCCACTGATTTGATAAGACTTTACGTTTATGATGACGTGATGAATCATATATTAGACCTCACAAATCTGAAGGATTTATGGGAAAAATGGAAAAGTCAATATATCTCCAAGATACTCATGAACAAATTATTTTCAAAGTAGCGTCTCTATAGCCTGAAGATGCAGAAAGGAGGCGATTTACAGGCTCGTGTCAACACTTTCAACAACATCCTCGCTGTTTTGACACAACTTGGTGTGAAAGTTGACGATGAGGATAAAGTCATTATTTTTATGTGCTATTTACCATGCTCTTATAATCATTTGATGACCACTCTCACATACTGAAAGGAAATAATCACGCTGAATTCTATTTCTTCTACTCTTTTGCAACACGTACAACGTCACCAAAATGTAGAGGAAAGTGGATGAAGCTCAAATGAAGGTTTTTTCGTGAAGAAAGGTCAAAACTGTGACAGAGGCAAGAGCAAGGCAGTGAGTTCTGGAAAGAAAAGAGGTTCAAGTCCAAGAACAGAAAAACAACAGAATGTTATGATTGTAAGCAAATTATTCATTGGATGAGTGACTGTCCAAAAAATTCAGGCAACAGTAGTTCAACAAATGTAGTTCAATCTGATGGCTCATATAATGAAGAGGATTTTCTTTGTGTTTCATCTACAAAGTTCACTGATGCACAGATTCTTGATTCTAGGTGCTCCTACCGTATGACGCTGCATCGGGAATGGTTCAACTCTTTTAAATCAGGTGATTATGGTTTTGTCTATTTAGGTGATGATAAAACTTGTACCATCACTGTAAAGGGGAAATTAAAATTTCTTTGGATGATGGTGGCGTGCACAAGTTGAGTAAGGTGTGTTTTGTTCTAGAATTAAGGAAGAATTTGGTTTCTCTGGTACTCTTCAAGAAAATGGTTATTCATTCTGGTCAGATGGAGATAGAGACATCATGAGGGTTAGCAAGTGTGCAATGACAGTGATGATGACAAGGAGGACTATAGGAAACATTTATAAGTTGTTAGGGGGCACAGTTATGGGTGATGTAGTATATGTTGAAGCTGATAATGATACAGCCAAATTTTGGCACATGCGCTTGGGTCATCTCAGTGAACGTGGGATGATGAAACTACATAAGAGGAATTTGCTGAAGGGTGTTCCTAGTTGCACAATTGGATTATGCAAGTATTGTGCTATTGGGAAATACTGTAGAGTTTGTTTCAAGACCAGGCAACACAAGACTAATGGAATATAAGATTATGTCCATTATGATGTATGAGGGCTTACAAAAGAGCCCTCCTTTGGAAGTTACAAGTACTTTGTGTCATTCACTGATGATTTTTCTCGTAAGGTCTGGGTTTATTTCATGAAATTTAAATCATAGGTTTTTTCTAAGTTCAAACTGTGGAAGGCGGAGGTTGAGAACCAGATAGGGAGAAAAATAAAGTATTTGCGGACTGATAATTGAACTGTATACACAAATAAGAAGTTCATGAATTTCTTAGAGGAAATGGAATCCATAGACATTTTTGTGCGATGAAGACACCATAATAGAATGGTGTTGTAGAGAGAATGAATAAGACTCTAACAAAGAAGGCAAGATGCCTTCGGTTGAATGCTAGTATTTCAAAAGGTTTCTAGTCAACAGATCACCACGAGCTCCATTGGATGTCAAAGTTGCGGAGGAGGCATGGACATGTAACCCCATTGATCTAAGTAATTTGAGGATTTTTGGGTGTCCAACAGATGTGCATATTTCTAGTGAGGATCAGTCTAAACTTGACCCCAAGTTAAAACACCACATCTTTATTGGCTACAATAAAGGTGTGAAATGGTACAAGTTATGAGAAAGAAAATTGTCAGCAAAGATGTTATATTTGACAAGCAATCGATGTTGAAACACTCAGATGTGACAGTTGTGCCAGATATTGATGTAAAAATTTCCATTCAATACAAGATTTAGGCGGACATTGAGGAGCCATTAGTGAAGCCAAGATAAATTATAGCCCAACCACAGGATGAACCAGACTTAGATTCATGTGGAGTTCAAGATTAAGGTGGGGTACAAGATTACACATTTGTGCGTGATAGGGAGCCCCGCCATATTACGCCTCTAGTCCAATATTGAAGACTTAGCCGCATATGCTCTTCTTACCAGTTCAGAAGACCCTTCTACCTTTTGAGAGGCTATGGCTATCCATGAGAAAGATAAGCGAATGGGTGCTATGGTGAAGGAGATTGAATCCTTGAAAAACAATGAGACGTGGGATCTTGTTCAGCTGCCACAAAGAAAGAGAGATATTGGTTGTAAGTGGGTGTACAAGAAAAAGCCAACATTGACAGAAAAAGAAGGGGAAAAGTTCAAGGCTTGCCTAGTTGCAAAGGGGTATTCACTGCATAAGTGGATTGATTATGATGAGATTTTCAGTACGGTCGTTATATGCACTTTTATCAGAGCATTATTGGCCTTGGTAGCTAGCAGGAATATGCATTTAGAGTAGGTGGATGTGAAAACACCTTTCCTCCATGGTAATCTAGAAGAGCAAATATAAATGGAGCAGCCAGAGGGATTCAATGATTCTAGACATGACAGACTTGTTTAAAAATTGAAGTGGTACAAGCACTTTGATTCATACATGTTCCAGATTGGCTATAGAAGGTGTGATTATGATTTTTGTTTTATGTGAGGAGCCTTGATGACGACTTTTATTTTCCTATTACTTTATGTTGATGATATGTTGATTGCTGCCAACCATTTGCATGATGTAAATGAGTTGAAGACCAAGTTGGGTAAGGAGTTTGATATGAAGGACCTAGAAGCTGTAAAGAAGAATCTTTGGATGGAAACTCACATGGACCAATTGGATTGGCGACACCTCTCTCTTAATTTTTTTTATGAAAGTGGGTTAGTTTGGGAAATACGCGGAAAAGTGGGTTATTTGAAGAAAAATTTATGTCTCGTTATCCTAAAGAGATAATTATTTTGTGATGGAAAAAAATACAAATGAAATACTTTTTATGAAACCGAGGGAGTACTTTTACTCTATTTCCAATTAATTCTAAGAGAAATGATATCCTTACACGACATTCTTACGTTATACCGTATTTCACGATTCACCAATACGATAAATCAAAAAAATAATTATCATCTATTGGAAGGATTGTTGGTTGTCAAATGAAGGCTATCTAAAAGCAATTTCGTTAACATTATTTCCATTAGAGAAGAAATATTTTCGATTGCTAGTTAGTGTTCAAGCTCTGATTGAAACAAAATCAAAGTTCTATCCTTGCAGAACACATCTTTGGTGAGGGGCAAACAATCAAAACTACAAAACAACACTTTATTTTCTATTCCTCATTTTCTTCTCTTTGAACTTTCACATAGTTCCATGAAATTCTCCACTTTCACATAATACACAAACACCCCAAAATAGAAATCACAATCACAAAAATCTCTCATCTCATCTATGAGATCAAAATCCTTTCACTCAATCCATGCCTGATCCATTACATCAAGCTTAAAATCTTCTATGCAATCACTTGGTTCTTTACCTATTTCAGATGCTGCCACTTCATCAAATGTATTTAGTTTTGGAACCAACTTTGTATCAATTGGACAACCATAGTCCTCTTTTCTCCCAATGCTAAGAAAATTTGTCACTACCTTATATGGAACCGAAATACTCGTACGAGGAATCACACCAACTTTCGATAAAGACGAGAGTTCATCAGAATGTTTCGTTAAGTCGTCCACATAGAGAACATCATCAATTCGCGCAACAATATTCGACGCCAGACTCTCTAGCACCCGCGAATAGCTCTCTAGAATGGATTTTCCAACATCCTACATAACACAATTGTAAAACTAAGATTAACCTTATCAACACTCAACATGATAGAAACAAAAACAAAGTAAGAAACCTTGTTGCATTGGATTTTGCTGACATCTAAGGATGTTTGAGGGAGAAAAGGAAAATGTTGCTTCAAGGATAGCAGAAGGCTTTCTCCTCTCTCTATAAGCATTTCACTTTTGTCTCCTTCAACAATCAAATCCTTGAACATCTCCCATGATGATCTTGAAGTTGATCTTGCAGCGCGATTCGCGGGCTTTAAGTTGTTCTTTTTACGCCAAATATGGATCGATGCTTCTACTCTATTTGCAATCTTTATGGCTTCATGCTCGGAAGTTACTTCAAGAGAAGCTAACAAACTTTCAGGAGAAAAATTATCTGATGTAATGTATCTATAAATAACATCTCCCAAGCTGGTTCTCGCGGTCTGCAAAACGAGTTCGATAAGCACTTATATGATAAGCGCTTATGCTAAAATTATGCGAACATTTGAAAGAGTAGAGAACATTAGTACCTTTGGAAGAGCCTCTAAGTAGGTATCAGGAACCTGCATTTCATCCAAAGTGATGTTGTTAATGGCCATTGCGGCTTTCGATATTTGGTTTGCGCAATCGCGCTTATTCTGCAACTGCTTTCTTGAATTTTCATGGAGACCGGAAGGAGGGATTTGAGGTACAGGAAGCCACCATTTCTCTTCTTGTCTCTGAACCGACTGGTGAAAAGAGGATAAACCGTCTTCGTCTGAGGCCATGACACCTTGGTCCACATACCTGAACTCGGTATCGACAAAACCGTCTAGTATATCCTGCAGAATGAGAAAATGCTTAGAAAGTTTGGCTTCTGGAAACGGAATTAATGTGCAGAAAATGTAGAAGAATCTTACGAGAAGCATGTTGTCTAGTTTTCGCAAAGCTGGGAGATTGATGTAAAGATCTGAGCGTGGTCTACAAGTCATGACCTGATTCACATATAAAATAAATTAAGGTTAAGCATCAAACAATGTGCGAAGCCTTGACACAGACTCTGATACTGACACAAACACAGACACTTATACCAGACACGGCTCTGAAATTGAACGATTTCAAATAGATTGTATTTGCAACAAAAAATAATTGCTTACACCCTATACAAGTCATTATGAAAACTATTTTGGAAGTTGTAATTTTACCCCAAACTTACTTCCATCTGGAAATGCAAGCCAACTAGGCTTGGATTCAACAACATGATCAGATCCTGACACAGACACGGATACTAGACACGACTCTCGTACAAATGATTTCAAACAAGTCCACAAAACTATTTTTGAAGATTTAATTGTATCTCAAACTTGCTTTCGTCTGGAAATGTTTTCCAATTAGGTTTGAATTCAACAATTTGATCACTGATACCGACACAAACACAGATATACCAGACACACTCTCGTACAAACGATTTCAAACAAGTGCACATAAAAACTAATTTTGAAGATGTAATTGTACCTCAAACTTGCTTCCATCTGGAAATGTTTGCCAACTAGGTTTAAACTCAACGATATGATCACTGACACAAAGAAGCCATTCCATCTCTCTTTGCCACATTGCTTTCTTCTCCGACGACAACGGTTCCAATCTCCAAAGTTGCCCAAAAATAGTTGCTACAGATTCAGAAAATGTATAAAAATATCAGAATTTTACATTTCATATTTCATTAAACTCAACAAAGTAACTAGCACATAGAAACTGTTTTGTGGATGCATACCACATAGATTAGTTATGGCATTGGATATAGCCAATGCTGTAGGGACTCCATTTCCACATCCTGACATATCTTCTCCAAGTAACAATTTTGCAAACCTTTCCTTCATCATCTCAATCTCTAGTCCTAATAAAAAATTAGTTTTAAGTTGTTTTCATAAAGTATTAAGGAGAATTCGAATAAACTGACTACGACTCATCAGTAGTCATAAATTGCATTCGTAAGTTTTCTCAGACTTTCGTATTAATTAATACCTTGTATGTAAAGAATTTAAAATACCTGGTAATACTAAGACTTGTTTATCAAAATTCTCACAACCCAAATCCTTTTTCTCTTCAACTTCACGAACCGACGACTCCAATGAAAGCGGCCAAGACGATTCCAAGCCACTACTATTGCAATGCCTCTCTACACCATTTTCTTCATACAAATCATGAAAACTCACATCATTACTACCATTTTCACATTCTTTCTTCCCCTCATTAGTATTGTTAACTTCATTTTTCTCAACCACATTCACACCCTCCATTGCAATTTTCCTCTTTTTCAAGAAAATCAATGATATTTAGTGGTGCTAGTTATTGTTGAGGTTGTGCTTTTTCTCTTTGTTTGGTGTAGTCACTTTCTATTAGTTGTTAACAATATTGGAATGTTTTGTGAGCTATCTTCTTTGATTGCTTACTTGTATGTGAAGGATAAAGACAATGATCATTACTCAAAGATGTTCAAACCACGTGAAGTTGAGAGAGACATTTGTGAAAAAATATATAACTCATTTTTTCAAAATTTGTAGAACGCTCTCTTTATATTATTCTAATTATCAACAATGATATTTAATACTTCAATGTTGATTCAAAATATCATAATATTTTATAAAGTTTAGTTATCATGCATGATAAACTTTTTATATATATTTTTTTTTTTACATTTTTAGTACATCACAATTATTATTAAATATAACTTTATGAATAATTATGATAAAGTCAAATATATTTAATTATATAATTTTATAGATAATTATGGATACAAAAATTAATTTTTCAATATAAATAGATATGATTTTATAGGTAGTTATGTTAAAAGTGAAATATCTTTAATAAAATAACAATTATTACAAAATATAAAATTTTATACTCTTCCATAGATGAATTGAATTCTATTTTATATATCTTATCCGTGCGTGTGCGTGTCTGTGTGTGTGGACCTGCAACATTAACACTAATTGTTAAATCAGTTCAAAATTTAAGATGAATGTAGTAAAAGTGAAGATTAAAAAGTGTGTACCTTGTATTTTGTGTGAGAAGAGTTTTATATCTCGGGTCATGAGAGTGGATTTGAGTTGCTTTGAGCATTTGGTCAGCTTAAAAAAGTTGCTCCCAAGGCTTGTCAGGCGCTTAGGGAGGCAGGGAAGTCTTTAGCGGTCGTGACCGGCCTCCAAGAAAGTTGCTTGATTTGAACTAGAATTGAAACATTTAGAGTTCATTGAAAAAGTTATGGGGGACAAGCTCATTAAATGCACTTTCATCCTTAAAACGTTTCGCTGATTCTCTCTAACACGTGGGGTGAAAAGAATAGTTAGAGCATGGCGTTGCTTATAGTGCACTCAAGTTGGTTTGTATTTTTAAGGGAAAATGCAATTGTTGATTTATAACCTCTTTTTACCGCGCTCAATCCTTTTTCCCTATATATGAGTGGTTGAGCACTAAGGAAATTTTTCACAATTGTTAACATTCACAAGCGTCTTCTTCTCTTCCTTCTTGAAAGCACTTCATCAAAGCAATAACAATTATAGACCTAAAGCTTCTTTCTTTCGTCATTCCTTTGTTTCCTCATCCTCACATAGCCAAGTACATTTCTCAACAAGTTTTTACCTTCATCATTTCATGTTTTCTAGTCAAAATGAGTAATAGCCCTATTCGCCTAGATATGGATTTTGAAACTAATGTTTTTTCTATTGCGGGAATTGGCTAACAAGCTCCTGACTCACACTCCTCTTCCCTTACTTATTATTACATGGGCCATGAAGGTGTAACCTTGATCGATGATTCTGATTCAAAAAGGGTAATACGGGAACTCCCTCAATGAGAAAGCGTCTTTGATGGATTCTTTCGAGGCCCTTCTGTCAGATGAGTGGTGAGGAGGATCACACTAAAGTCCTCATGCCCCTCCTATTCTAGCCGATGCAGAAATACAAGCTTCTAATTTAATGAGAGAATGCACTCACAATTTCGTCCAGGTTTTCTGGTGAACATTTAATTGTGAACCCACCGATGTTGAAATTAGGGCCCATTTGGAGTCTCGAGGCAGGCCAAATGTTGTCTCTTAGATCAAGCCTGACGAGCATTTTAAACTTGACGAGTTATCCGAGAGGGGTGTGGAAGACACACCACAGTCTCCTACTCCCACGAAGATGGGCTAATATAAAGACCAACATTCCCCCCGGGGAGGGTTCTCCTAAATGAACCTGACTATTTGAGGACGATGCCTTAGGGTCTCTAACTCCCTTCATCTGAATGTGTGATATTCTTCCTTCTCAGATTCCTCGCACTCATGAGGATTTTTTTTGTTGTTTTAACGACGGAGGATCTGTCCTTCGTTCAGAATATATCAGAGGCTAAGAAGATGTAGCTCTTTTTTGAGGTCACCTTCCATACATATCAGGCTACTTCCTTGTTCTCTCTATCCGCTACTGGCATATGGGACATCTTGGATTTAGGTAAGCATGCCAATGAGAGGGATACTTAGAAGGGAATGTATGAAGCCCTAGAGTAAAAGTGCTCGACCTACTAAAAGGAATTGGCCTATTCCAGGAGAGGACCAAGCTTACAGAATCTTCACAAGAGGCAGAGAAGATCCACGACTTTCCTTCAGCCCTCTCTTCCTAGATTATGGAGCTAGAATCCTCCCTTGAGGAGGAGAAAAAATGGCGTCAAGATTCTTATGATGTTTTTGCTAAGATGAACCATATTTCGGAGGAGGATTGGAAATCTCTTCAGTGGGAAGCGAAGACTCATGCTGAGGCTCTAAAGACTCTTGAAGGCAAGGTGAACGCTCTGTAGGAGAGCTTACATGACTACCTTCAACATATTCTTCAGGGTGTGTACTGAGTCCTTGATCAAGTTATGAATCGGGCGAAAGAATTTTGTCATTCTATCTCTATTCCTGTTAAAGGGTTGAACCCCTCACCTATTAGGAATTAGGTATTTAGAGGGGCTTTGTGGCATGAAGTTAGGGTTTCCTTGGGAATGATACCCAGCCAATTAGTCACAGTGGACCATTGAATTTCTACTTTCTAGGGAGACATGGATTAACATGTTGACCATAACTTCTTTCTGACAGAGGAATGTATTTTCTTATGTTTCTCATGACTGGGAAAGCAAAGAGCATTCAGGGATAGGTGGCCCATAATTGCGAGTGGAAGATTGGAGTCACCTCACTGAAGGTTGTAACCATGTCTCCCTTAATAGGTCTTTTACAAATATATCACTACATAGTCTCTCAAGCACAAGGGGTTTGAAAAAGGGAAAAATTCTTTTAACGACAAAGTGTTGGGGTATCAATATGATGAGTTCTTAAGTCCTTAAAGTGAGATAATATGTTAAGCCTGGCTAATGGGACTCTAAGGTCCCTTAGGTGAGGCAATGAGTCTCCTGGGAAAGACTTAAGTCCAATCCCTCCAGCAAGACTTATGAGTTAAGTCTTTCGAGTCAGATTTTAGTCGCGTCCCTCAGGCAGAAATGTAAGTTGGACCTTGTCTAAGGCATCATAAAGTCCCTTAGGTGAGGCATCTAGATGAGTCTGTTTGATGAGACTTTAAGTCCTTCAGGTATGATTGTATGTTGACTCTTTCTGATGAGAGTCTAAGTCCCTCAAGCGAGGCGTTGAGTCTCTCGGATAAGACTTGGATGCAAACCCTCGGGAAAGACTTATGAGTTAAATCTCTCAGACCATTATTCGGTTGTGTCCCTCGGGTAAGAATATATGTTAAACCTTTTCTAAGGCGGCACCAAGTCCTTCAGGCGAGGCATTGAGTCACTCGGGCCTGAATTTGGTCCAAACCCTTACGCAAAACTTATGAGTTAAGTCTCTCGAGCCAGGCTCCAATCGTGTCCCTCGGGCGAGACATTTAAATGATCCTATTCGATAGGAATCTAAGTCCTTCAGGTGATATTGTATGTTGAGCCTGTTTGATGAGACTTTAAGTCCCTGAGGTGAGGCGTTGAGTCTCTCGGGTGAGACTTGGGTCTAAACCCTCAAGAAAGATTTATGAGTTAAATATTTCGAGCTATACTCTGGGTACGTCCCTTGGGTGGTACTATAGGTTGCACCTTGTCTAATGAGACATTAAGTCCCTCAAGAGAGAAAATTAGACGAGTCTGTTTGATGGGATTCTAATTCCTTTAGGCGAGATTACATATTGAGTCTGTCTGATGAGACTTTAAGTCCTTCAAGTGAGGCGTTGAGTCTCTCGGGAGAGACTTGGGTCCAAACCCTCAAGCAAGACTTATGAGTTAAGTCTCTTCGGATAGACTTCGGTCACGTCCATCGGCGAGGCGTTTATATGATCTTATATGATGAGACTATAATTCCTTCAGTAAAAATTATATGTTGAGCCTCTCTAATGAGACTCTAAGTACCTTAGGTGAGACATTTATATGATGTGGTCCCTAGTGGATAACACAATCATATTGCCCTTAAGGGAAACAAAAAATTTCATGTGGAAGTCCATCATATTCTCATTACCTCAAGAGGAATCACAAATCTTCTTGTGGAAACCAATGTGTTGGTATTGCCTAGTGAAACGACAATGATCCTCCTATGGAAGTCAATCATATTAGTAATGCCTGAAAAGGCAACAAGCGTCTTCCTATGGAATTCTAACATATTCATATTGCTTGGAGATGCGACAAGGATCTTTTTGTGGAAGTCTAACATACATGATACCAAAATCAAAATACTTCCCTACTCATAAACATTCAATAGTTTGATCATAGGCGAACAATATGTCCCATAAAAATTCATTAATATCTTAACTATAATAATATTTTAAACGTGCATAGTTCCAAGTTCTGGGGACGATTGGTTCATCCAACTCTTTGAGCTTATATGCTCCATGTGGAAGCTTCTGGAATATGCGGTACGGTCCCTCCTAGTTGGGTTGCAACTTTCCCTTCCGCGTTGTCGAAACCACTTGTCTCAACACCAGGTTTCCATATTGCATTTCTCTTATAACTACCCTAGAACTTTATCTTATAACAACTCTTTCCTTGGCTTCAAATTCCCGTATGTGGGTGATGTCTCTTACCTCATCTACCAAATCCATGACACATTTTAGCCTTGTATTGTTCACCTCTTTGTTGAATTAGAGCATCACCATAAGGGTGTGTCGATCTCCACATGCAATATAATGTCTAACTCGTACACCATGGTGAAAGGCGTCTCCTTAGTGGTTGAGTAGGTAATGGTGTGGTACGAAAATAATATCTCATGGAATAATTTAGCTCATAATCCCTTAGTGTCGTTCATCTT